AAGAATTTTTCCTAATATCCAATTTAAACCTCCCCTGGTGCAACTTGAAGCCATTTCCTCTTGTCCTATTGCTTGTTACTTGGGAGAGGAGACCAACACCCACCTCGCTACAACCTCCTTTCAGGTAGTTGTAGAGAGTGATAAGGTCTCTCCTTACCCTCCTTTTCTACAGGCTAAACAACCCCAGGTCCCATAGGTTCTCCTCACAGAATTCGTTCTCCAGACCCTTCAGCAGCTTTGTTGCCCTTCTTTGGACACACTCCAGCACTTCCATGTCTGTCTTGCAGTGAGAGACGCAAAACTGAACACAGGATTGGAGGTGCAGCCTCACCAGTGCTGAGTAGAGGGTGACAATCATAGAATCATAGAATCATAGAATGGCATGGGCTGGAAGGGACCTTAGAGATCATCTAGTCCAACCTCCCTGTTTTGGGCAGGGATGCCACCTCTCGACTAGACCTGGCAACACATGGGGAATCATTGCCCTGGTCCCACTGGCCACACCATTTCTGATACAGGCCAGCATGCCATTGGTCATCTTGGCCACCCGGGCACTCTGCTGGCTCCTATTGATATGTCACAGGACTGTCTGCAGAAAAGAAAGGTATATTTTAAATTACTTGTAAGTCCTTTAAGACTCGCGGACAGTGAGGCACAGAGGTGTATCTATAGTAGTCTTCTCACCAGAAACAAGCCCCATTTTGAACTCTGGTCTTATTTTACCCTTGTCAAAAGCAACCCGTGGAGAAAATGGATGTGCTTTTGCTTAGACCTCCCCTGGGCTGACCCAGTGCTTCTCACCTGATGCCTTTTGCTTCGACAGTGCAAGGTGATCATCTGCCAGATGAGCAGCACCCGGCCAGACCTTTTCCACTGGTTCCTCTTCCCACTGGCACTGGTTGTCTACGCATCCATCTCCGGGCTTCTGGGCTGGATGGAAGAAGCAGCGCTCGCCCTGTTCACCGTGCTGGTCACAGCAGCCCACGTGCACTACGGCGTCTGCGTGGTGAGGAGACACCTGCAAAGCAGCTACGGGAGAGATGCACTGGGGTGGGAGGACAATGGGGTCTGGGAACAGTTCCTACACTCTCTAGCTGGAGCCTGAGTGTTCGCTTATGGGGTTTTTTTTCAGTATAAATAATTTTAAAAAAAGGTCAGTTTACTGCAGGCAGTGCCTTTCCACACATGCAGCAACTTCAGTGACTAGTATCAGCTTTAACCATATCACAATGGGAATATTTATGGAGTGGTTATATGTAGCAGTTGATCCACATGGCATGAATGCTCCCACCCCTTCTTTCCTGAGGTTACTTGACTGAAAAATAATAGAAAGGTAAAATATAAAGTGACATGAATAGAATTCATAACATTAACTTTGCTTTGAATTTGCAAGCAAAATAGCTGTCCCAGTTTCTAATCTTTTCTTGGCCCTCTGTTAGCATCTCTCAAGCTGGAGATGTGGTTTTCCAGTTCAGTCAGTCTCACCATTTTTGTATCTGCTAGATACCTGATTTGTCATTTATTGTCATCTGAATTATGCTTAAATTAACTTTTCCTCAAAATCAATGCCCTCTTTTCTAAAGAGTATTGTTAAATAATCCTTAGGGAAGTATCTTAATGGGGGCTTGCTTTTAGACAAAACTCTTTGCATGGCAAAGATCTCATTTCACAGGGAGTTGGTCAGCATTCTTTAAGGTACACCACTGGGATGTAAGGATTTTTCTTCAAAAGAAGCCTTTTGTCAGCAGACATTGACATCACAGTAGATTTTACTGCAGCACTGATGCAGGCCAGTTGGTGGAGGTCAGAGTGGAAATATCTGGTCAAAATTCATTATTGATCAAGGGGGCCAGGCTCCATCACAATTTATGTCATCTCTGAATCTGGTCTGTAGAGATTTAACACCCCATCAGTGTGCTGCAAGAGGAATGTAAAGCCCAAAGCTCTCTTGCTCACATACTTAGAGATCCCCATGTACTTCTATGTCTCCAAGCATATAAGGACTGTGTTTGGGCCCTTCCCGTCTGGGAGAAGAGAGAGGGTGACTTGTGAAGCACGTACAAAACCAGTTGCTAATTTCTGTGATTTCTCCTTAGGGGAAGCAGTTGAGTGAGCACTTGAACATTTACATCTTTTCCCTGAAGAAACGTGTCCAGGAGTGAACACCTGCACTATAATCAGACTGTAGCACTTAATGTGGAGATTCGCAACTCTTCTGATGTGAAAAATAGTTGGAATTAATCTGATTAAAATAACCAAAGAATAGAATAGTCCAGATATCCAAACCACTGCGACAATGAGCTATGCAGAAGATGCTTCATCTCAGAGGAAGATTCTCGTCCAGCTGAGAAGTGTTTACCAAGTTGTTTTGCTGCTAAGATTTATTCCCTTCACTGATGCCGTGTTACTACTCTCTCTGAAGCTCAATCTTCCTCCTCCTTGCCACTGTGTCCAAAAACCTGGATAAACCCATGCTGGGTTACATGAGATCCTTGATGGTTTATAACTAGCACTGGTTTTGCCCAGCCTTGTCACCAGTGGGACCTCAACAATGAAACCCCTCCCTGTTTGTCATTCCCCCTCAGACGTCTGTGCCTGCTTCTTTTTCCATATTTATTTTTCTCACAGTGCATTTCTTCCATACAACCTTCTGAAGGGCTTAGATTCAGTGTTTTCCTCACCTCAGATGAATGTATGAAGAGAGAATGAGCTCAGAAAGCTATGGGCACAGTAAAGTGGTTTTGAAATACACAATTTCTTTTTTCCCTGTCTGACCTATATCTGTCAGAAATGTGGCCTCCATATAGCAGCAACTGGTCTTTATACTTATTTTCTGGGCAGTAACAAGCACATTGTTGATATTTCTGTAGCAAGCAATATACCCTATAAAGGTAACCAGCTGAGAATAAATTTGGCCAACAAACCTTTGAAGATTCTCATATTTCACTACAAAACCGGTTAGTCAAACCTCATGAGTGCAAAATGCTAAGCAAGTCATTATTTGCCTGTGTGCTTGAAACAAATTTAGATAACAAAAAAAAAGAGACAATAAAAGCTTTTTTTTAAACATTACATGTTTGCATGCAGATGTAAACTGCTCACTTAAGCTATAATATATGTAAGCTTTCTGCATGCCTTGGAGGAAGGAGTAGGAATTCCAGTTTCATCTCTTTTCATACACTGCCCTAGCCAGAGGGAATTTGTGGCCTTGAAGCACTAATGAAATGATCTGTCCACTTTTCCCAAGGTAAGCATTAGATTACGTTTCTTGCACAAGGGACTGGCATGTTTATTAACTAGTTACCTATCGCGTTTGGCAGAAGCAGAGCAGAAATGTAGTTGAGCTGCTGAGCCTTCAGTTCACCTGTTTTTCAGCTCTTAGACTATTTCTCTGGCTTCATCACTGGCCTGATAATTGTTTTCCCTAGTGAACAGACCCTTAGATCAGTAGCTTCTATTAGTATTTCCAGCTGAACACCCAGTAGACATTACTTCGTGAACAGCCGCAATTTAAATCTGTACTGCCTGTTACAATAGTTGACCTACCATGACATCAGTGGGCTGATTTTTTTTTTGTGGGGGAGTTGGTTCCACTCCGCAAATGGACATCATCCTATAATCACAGTTCAAGCAGCTTAAGGCTCGAGTTAGGCAGAGGACACAGGTTATCCCGTTCATGCGGGTTTGGAGATTCTGCTGCAGCCCAGGGCAGGGAGGCGAGGCTCAAGTGCCCTCCAGAACTGCTGTGGCCCGGCTCTAGAGGTACAGCTGGAGCACTGAGAAGCATCTTCCAGCCTTTCTCCCGACTGGTGGGGTGGCTGTGCTCCTGTCCTGCATGATGCCCAGGGCACACAGGGGCTCCAAAGAGGTCCTCCTTAACAGCCCAAGGGCTCTCTTCAAGAGTAAGGCTGACAGCTGTTTAATGAGGGTTGTTAAAAAAAGGTAGTTCTGCCTGTGTTTGAAGAAGAACAGCGAGTTTGATGTAGACAGGCACCCAGCAGTCTCACTGTTTCAAGTTAGATACTACTTCCAAGACCAGATACACTGCCACCAAAGTCTCACCTAGTTCAACAGTTTATATTTAAGTTGTCCATCAAAAGTATCTGGAGGAATTCCTGATGAAAAAAGAATTAGAATACAATAAACAAATACATTAATACAACCTCTGGATTGAATGTGGTTGTACTGGAGGAACTCTGTGGACAGGCTTCCCTTTCCCCTCTGTCTTGCACTTATTTACAAGTTGGAAATAAGGGTCACAGAAGTGGCACAATTTGATGCACTGTAATGGATTATTCTGAAATACTTCATTAAATGAAATCATAAAACTTGAACTGCTGCAACCTGCCTGCACTTGTACCTTTCTAAAGAGAAATACAGGATCACTTTCAAAGGAAATTAAGCTCTGGCCAGACATGGCAAACTACTTTCTTTTTCCTTTTTAAGGCAACTTGTCACTACAACCTCTATAAAGACAACTATAAAAACAAATTGTGTATTGCACACTGTATATATCTAATAGTTATCTTAGATGGTGACTGGTTCAATGAACAGGACTAAAAATGTGTTGTTCATAGAGCGTTTATTTTGCAGTCAGGTAACAGTATGCAGATGACTCAACAGCCTAACAAAAATTGGTCACAACGGCAGAAAGTTTGCAACTATCTGAACTAGAAAATATATAACTTTTTTATGCTGATGAGCATCTGCACTAGCCCAAGGACATGCTTCCGCCTTACTCTTATGAAAAGCAACTAAACTAGCACTGCTTGCCCAGGTTTGAGCATGTGGGCTTGAAATGGACTCCTCTTGGCCCCTGCTTCATTCTTCCCACTGCACCAGAAACCTTCCCAAAGTGGGGCTGGGGAGTGGCTCATCCTCAGCCCCAGGGATACCCAGAGGGCAGCAGGGGGGCCCAGCTTACCTCTCGGTGGTGGCACACAACCAAGTAGCTTCAACCTGGCAAAAAGAGGTCCTGACCCAAGGCTCAAAGCCCTGGAGATTCAGCGGCAGCTAGTGCCACAACATTGCTCATGCTGCAAAAGATCAGAGCCGTGAGAATTAAAACGAAGCTTCCCCCTTCCAAAAAACCCAATAGTTTAACCTAAAATGCAGTTGGCTTTTAGGTACTGCACTAAAGATTCATCAGTAAATTGCAAGAGAAGCCCACTGGAAGCTTCAGTGCCCATGCTGTAGTACTCTCTTCACCTCCTGGCTGCTGTGAATTTTGCTATTGCTGTCTCAAAACAGATGTAACACGAGATCTAGTACTCTGAAATTGGAAAGCCTTCACCGTAAAGAATGTTCTGTTCTGTTCCCATGCACATGCATGCATGCATTTTCCTTTTTGATTTGTAGAAGAGGATACAGCTGCTGAGCTCTGGGGAAACAGATATTACCTACGCACATGGAGTAAGTGAACTTTTTATTTTTTAAAGCAATTGCGTTTTTCTTCCTGCTCCCATGTGCAGTCACTAATGAAACAAAAATATGTATTTAAACCAGAAAAGTATTCTTTTAGAATGTTTTGAATAGTCTCTAGAGCTAGACAGATTTTAACATATATTTTTTTATTAAATATGTAAAAAGATAAACGCAAGTCAAGTTATTCACATATTCAGACAAAAATCTACTCTACCATGCGACAATTGGTGGATAATGTAAAATGACTGATACATCTGAATAAGACTTTTTTTTATCTATTATGCTGTTACTTATCTATTTATAATTAACAATACATATGTTTACATTCCTTTCAGTTTACATTTAATATATAACCAAAGCTTTATGGTGTGCTATTTAGTAAAGGTAATTACAAATGCATATTAAAACCATAACGGAAGAATGGGTTACTCACAGGGGGTGGGGGGAGAAGGACAACTCTTTCACCTTTCAGAGCATCGCTCTCCCCTCAGCACAGCCAAATTTCTAGTGCCCACGAGGTACTTTACTGCCCTGGCTCCCTACATCAGTCAGTCCCCCCACTTGGTACAAACAGTGAGAGGGCTACGGCCCTCAGACCAGAAAGAGGATATAAGGAAATTTCAGGAAATGAAGTTCAGCTTTTTAATCTTACTTTGTTCTTATATGTGCTTCAAGGAGAGAAAAGGAGAGAGGCACAACAGCCTGGCTACGAACCCTCCAGGGAGCTCAGCAACCCAACTATTTGCACCTTCAGAAAAACATTTTTTCTTGACATGCTCTCCATGCATCTGCTCAGGTATTATTAGCAGAAGGATGAACTGCAGTAAGCAAGCACTGGTGCTGATGAAGTTAAGTTTATAGCCTGGATCCCAAAACTCCATGCCCCAAGAGAAATCCCATACAGGTTAAAGGACATTCTGGAGACTGGAAAAAATTAGTAACTGCTCTTCAGTTCAACAGTATTATGAAGAACTACCGTTTATTACAATGACAATTGTAATAGGTACATATGTTCTAATAAACACAAATACAACAAAAATGACAATCCCCCCATTTGTGGTGATTCTTGGAAATACTTATTTTCGGAATATACACAGTTTTATAAACCAGACCTTATCTGTAACCAATTGAAACGGGAAAGCGCTGTCCTACAGGTTGCAGTAATTTCACTTCATCCCTGGGTAGGACCCGAGGTCAATGCTGGAGGCCGGGCTGGGTAACCTTCAGCCCGCAGGGTCCAGAAACTCTTCTGCCGAGCAGGGGGAGCGATCAAGGAACCGCAAATACCTCTCTAGCACTTAAAAGTTTTTTAAATATTGTCGGTGGTGAAACACAACAGCAGGGTTCTCACATTTAACTAGGAGCCACTTAGCTGCGAAAGATTGAGTAGGAACAGAAAACCCCATGTGCATGTGTGTGTGCCAGAGGGCTGATTAATTGAAAACCTTTCTATGGAAGCGTAAGCTGGGAACTTTTGCATTAGAAGCCTATGAAGGTCTAAGACGATTTAGCTGTTCAATAGGCTTTGGCGTTTTTCAGTGACTGCTGACTGGGATGGGGCTTCCAGGTACCTGCTAAATCAGCAAAACCATCCAGAATTAAAAAAGAGGGAGACTAAGAATACCAAGCATTAAATATTCAGAGAGACTACAATGCACAGTTTTATGACAAAAATAAGGAATGCTTTATACACTTCAAGATACCCCTGTTTATAACATACCATCATTCAGAACAGGGC